AATGGAAGAGACAGAAACACCTTTAAGGGCAAATGAGAATAATTTATTGATGGTGGGGGTAGGTTGGGAAAAGCAAATGAATTTTTTGCTTGCTGGTCTTCAGGGAGTGTGTCGACAGATGCCTGGAACCAACATAAATTTCCCCAGGGAAGAAAAATTACTGAAAAAATAGATGAAGATTGGTTTATAGCAGGTGATCAGAAATGAATGAGTTGATGAGAAACGCAAGTCCACAATCACTTGGGACCCGCAGGCTTAATATTAGCGATGAGTGGCCATATGAAGCAACTGTCTGGACGGTCATGCTATCGCCGAAGAAGAGAGGTTGTTTTCGACATGTCTCACTGGCTTGGAAATAAAACACAAAGAAAACGTAGAATTTTAAAGCTAGAAAGGATCTCTGCAGTAATTCGGTAGATGAAGAGACAGACTTGACCTAAGATAAGCAGTTTGCCCGGAGCTGGGATGAGGCAGAGCTCAGGAGCACCGTTCATCTTGAAGCTTTGTCATACATTAGCTCCGTGGGCTTTCTCAGGTTCAGCCTTAAACGTGGTCTTTATCCCAGTGAACAAGGAGTGACTTAAGAACTGCTAGAAAGGAAGGTTCTGTTAGGAACAAAACTGCCCAGGTAAAGGTAGAGGGCCAAGTGAGATCCATGGGGTTTGGTCACATAAGGAATTTCGTAGAAGAGGCAGAACTGTAATTGGGAAGTAAGAAAGAGACCAGGGATAGTCATTATCTTCATTATTGTTATCAAGTGATTATATGGCATTTCGTCTTCAAAACCTTTTGCAGACTTTAATTGTCAAGTGCAGTCATAATCTAAATTGCATAGGTCTGGAAAAGTAGGGTGTTCGAGTTTGGTGACCCATACGGGAAATGTTTAGAATTCTCATATTCGGAAACGTTGGATTATGCTTTATTCTAAAGCAGTGGTCTCTCTTATATAGTAATTAAAAAATAGAAGTCTTGTTATGATAGTCTTCCTAACCCAGCTGTTAACTCTCCTTACTTGTGGATGAGGAAATGGACAAAATATGGGACATGTAGTTCTTACCTTGAAGAGTGCATGAAAGAAGCACTTAGCATTTTTGAGGTTCACTTTTAAATGCAACATTTGAAAATGAGTACATCCCCAATGTAACTGACAGTGGACTCCTTTTTTCCCCTGAGACTGTCAAGCCTACATGTCCTATGAGAGCACGTTTGACTTTTTAAAAGGGATTATGTCGATACAATGCTTGCATTGTTTTTATTCTTCGAAATGCAAATCTCTACATCAAAATTAAAATACAGCAGGAGAGGAGCAAAAGCGCAGCACTGGTATATCCCATTCTTAGGGATAAATGACACAAGGCAAACTTGTTAAGAGAGGACATCTTTTACTTAAATGTCTATTTCTTTATTCTCTCATGCACAGAACAATTCACTCCTGCCTTTTAAGGATTGAGCATTATAATATTCTTGCTTTTAGGGCTAGGATTTTTCCTCTCCACATAGCACCTGTGTTTTCTGGAGCAGTTCAGGGTTGGAAGAAGTGACACTTTCATTCTTGTAATGAGGCTCCATTAACCAGAGGCCTTTTGTAAGGGTGTAATTTCAAACTTCATTACAGACTAAGGCAGATACACAACCCATTACTCAGAGAAAATGTGCTTCTGTTGTGACTCTCCAATGAGCCTTACATTTTTAATGTGCCTTGTTAGAATATTTATGAAACAGTATCACCAGTAGAGGGCATCTGTCTTTGAAACCTGTGAATATCAACTGACAGGGTTTCAAGGCCCTCGCTTTAGACTTTTACATTAGAAAAACAGAAGTTAAAGGACATGTCATAGTCTGAAATATTTTCTGATTCAGTTTTCATTACTAGCAAGTTATCAGAAGTTTGCATGGTCATGTCTTAGGAGTTTTATTATTTTATCATCAGGGTAAAGTCTGAGTATGAAAGGAACCAGCTGAAATCCACACTGGAAGGGAATGAGTATATACAAATTGTGCTTCCTTTTAAATGTCTGTCCTCTGGGAAAAGTCTGTTTGCCATGCTGGTAGGCTTGCCCTCTGAAAAATATCTGAAGATGCTGAGTTCCTGATTAAAAAATTTAACTTTGTGAAATTTAGTCCTGCCCATGAACCTGTGTATCAGGTTAGCTAAGAGTGGAAGCTATGGCCTAAAAGACCCCAAGGTTAGGAGGAGATGTGGGTTTTATTTTATTAGAAAATTTTTTTTTAAGATTTACCAAATCAATCAATCAATATTTACTTATTTTTAGAGAGAGCAAGAGCCAGTGCACGAGCGTGGTGGGAGGGGCAGAGGGAAAGCCGGTCTTAAGCAGAGTCTGCAGTGAGTGCAGAGTCTGATGTGGGGCTCGATCTTACATCCCTGAGACCACCACCCGAGCTGAAAACCAGGAGTCAGTCGCTTAACCAACTGTGCCGTCCAGATACCCTAGGAGACCTGAGTTTTCTGGGCAATTTGAGGTGTGGGCTCCTGCCAGCCTGACCCCTTCCTGTTGAGTGTCTCTTCTGAACTCTAGGACTGCTCCCCCACCAGACTGTCACATGATAATATAGAATGGCTCAGAGATCATAGGTCCTGGCTGCGAAAATACATGTATGTGTTTGTATGTATATGCACATAGCGTTTTCAAGCAGGAGTGTTTGTTACAAAGAATGATTAATAATTATGACCCTAAGTAGTACACCTTCTCCTATTTTCCTGTAGATAATTCTAATGTTAAGGTCCATAGCAGTGTATATTCAATTTTAATTTCCTCTGTACATGCTCTGAGACAGGGAACTATGTTCCTGAATCTGTAAAACATGCCACGACTGTATCCTGTTAATTTTCAGGTAACAGCCTATTAAAAATGAAAGCTTCAATGAGGAAACAGAGTTCAAAGGCTTGAAGTGTTAACAGATCATTTTTTACCTAACACGATTTCTTTTTAGAGATATTTGAATAGGCTTCTTCTTCCTAAAGTACTGTTCTTTTTAACTTGAATTCGCTCTACATTGTCTTTAAGTGGATATTTGTTACTCATGTGCTGATTTGCATTTATAAGTAAATCTAAGTATCCCCCCCACAGTCTATACTAAGCACTGTTAACAGGACAATCAAAAGATACCTGTTCAGAGAGGGAAATGTCTCCAGACTTGTCTGTTCTTTTCATTTTGGATTTGAATTAGTCATGGTCATGTAGTCACAGTTGTGTTGTGATGACCTTGAAGTTTCATACTGCTCTCTCACACCCTGGGAGCATCAGCTTCCTGAAGAACTTACAGAAATTAAAAGTAAAATATTCAGGGGCGCCTGATGCCTCAGTTGGTTAAGTGTCTGCCTTTGGCTCAGGTCATGTACCCGGGGTCCTGGGATTGAGTTCTGCATGGGGCTCCTATCTCAGTGGGGAGCCTGCTTCTCCCTCACCCTCTGCAGCTCTCCCTGCTTATGCTCTCTCTCTCTCTCTCTCTCTGTCAAATAAAATCTTAAAAACATAAAGAAATAAAAGGTTAAATATTAAAATAACGGGTATTTCTTTTTTTAAAGATTTTATTTATTTATATGAGAGAGAGAGAATAAGAGCACACGCAGGCCGGGGAGCAGCAGAAGGCGGCTCCCTGCTGAGCTGGCAGCCAGACATGGGACTCCATCTCAGGACCCCTGAATCATGACCTGAGCTGAAGGCAGGTGCTTAACTGACTGAGCCACTCAGGTGTGCCCAGGTGTTTGATTTTTGCAAGGAATGCTCATGGCTTCGCCACATCGTTGCTCTGCGTTCCAAACAGTACTGCTTTAACTTCCCCACCTCTCTTCCACAGCACCTTACCCTTGCTATTAGAAAGACTTGATACAGACAAGGTCCAGAACTTCTGCAATGTGGTCAATGCATGGGTATTGTTAGGTTCATACAGTATCTTAACAACCGGTATTGGTGGTCAATACTTAAAAACTGAAAGAGTTCACTTTAAACATCCAAATTTGTAGGTTATTTTTAGAAAATGAGAGGATTTGGAAACACTGTCCTGTGATCTCACATGGCAGGTGCCTGTGTCCCCCAGCACCCCCCCACCCTGGATTTCCCTTTCCCTTACTTGCATTTCCTCCCTGGCCCCTGACCACACTGAGCGTTGACCCCACTGAGCATTCACCATTCACTGCACGGCCTCGTCACCATGTCAGCAGCCATCCTCAGAACGCTCTGTGCCTGCTCAGCGGCTAATGCATGGTGCTGCGACTGTTAGCTTTCTGTACTTCTAGTTTTCTGTCTTAAAAATGAGGATTTTGGGGCGGGGGTGCCTGGGCGGTGCAGTCAGTTAAGCGTCCAACTCTTGATTTCGGCTCAGGTCATGATCTCGGGGTCATGAGATTGGGTTCTGTGCTGAACGTCGAGCCTGCATGGTACTCTCTCTCCCTCTCCCCCTGCTCCTCTCCCCAGTCCCCTCACTTTCTCTCTCTCAAAAAAGGGTGAGGGGATCATATCTGGCACTTCCTGTCATGAAAACTTTGACAACTAGTGTGAGTTTTTAAGAACATTTCAAGCAAAATTATTGATTGCTACTTTGATTTAGTACATTAAAAAAAAAGATTTTGTTTCATGATTTAAGATCAGCCCTATAGCAGACAATACTGTTTAGTGAAAACTGAACTATGTTTTAAATGGATTTTTTGCTTGACTTGCCTATTTCTTAGAAGATTTTAAGCCAAAGATAGAAGCCTGAAACTAATACATACTTACATATTTATGTATGAATATTCTAACACACATATATATGTGTGTATATACAAGCTTATTTACTTATGGGTATGTTAATCCAGCTAATTCCTTCTTAGCTTTTAGTGACTTTAATAAAATTACTTCTTAAATATCATTGCTTCTTAATAACTTTTCAAGAACGTATTTGATAACTTCTTAACTTGGAAAAGCAAGTTGAGAATGAGCCAAGAAATAGAGCACCACACGTGTGAATGTTAACTGGAGATGAATGGTCTTTCCTTTCAGAATACGGCAGGAGAATGATATGGTTGATTCAGCGCCTCAGTGGGAAGCTGTATTAAGGAGACAAAAGGAAAAAAATCAGGCGGACCCCAATAACAGACGATCCAGACATAGATCTCGCTCGTATGTGGACTCTTTTTTATACCTTTGTTCAGAAAGCACTGAACTTGAAGTGACATGCAGATTCTGGGGCAGATGGGGCTGTCTCTTTGAGGTCCTCTAAAGCGACTTTAGTTCCACCATGATTATCCCATTGTTTGTTTGTCATATTTACCTTCTTTTGTTTGTGACATTCATTAACTCCATCTGAAGCCGTAGAAGTTGGAGCATTGCCAGAACAAAATGTCAAAAACAAGGCTATTAAGACTCTTTTGTTTTGTTTTGTTTTTAAACAAAGCATACCTTCAACCAAGTAACTAGGAACAATCTTTGTTCTGGAGCCTGGCTGTTGGCAGAAATACCTGCTGCTTCTCTCAATTGGAGTCTGCAGAATTCTCTGAAGTCTTGTTCGAGATTGAACCAGATGTGAATATCTTCCTATTAAATTACCATTTGTGAGCAGTAGGCAGTGAGTGATTCATTACACCCCAATGTTGGGATTTGCCTGTGCCTTCTGTTGCTAGGCAATGCCATGTGTGAGCACAATTACCCCGTAACGAGATTGCCAGTCCTCCAAATTAATTTTCGAGCTGATAAAATTTCTAGGGTTTTTTGTTTTTGTCCTTGTTTTTTAATGTGTGCATCATACAGATTTAGGTACCCCCCATCCCCATGCCACTTCCCAAAGCATACCTTTTAGTGTGAGCTGGGACTAACTCTACCCATCCCTTTGTGATCCTAGGTGGTTAGATGTCTGGTGTTGCTTATTTGTGGAAGGAGGGCTTGGTGTCTCAGATAGGGTGGTGGAAGGACGCCAGGGAGTGGATGCAGAGACAGACTGTAGGGAGGTGGAGGGGGGATCCAGGGAGTCAGGCACCAGGGGGTCAGTTTGGGTCAACAGAGTCCAGGAGAGGGCTTGGAGGACACACCCCAGGACCCCATGTAGCTCTAAAGGATGCTTTTCAGTCTTAGATGCTTACTTTTAAATTAGAAGTTATCCTAGGGTGTGGTTTTGTTTTTATCAGTAGTATAGCCTAATGAGTGATGTCTGTTTTTTTTCTAATAGAAAACCCTCAAGTAGTCACTATGCAATGTACCAGACCCTTACAGATTTATTTGTTGCTCCCTTAAGTTTTTGTTCTGGAACCTAATTAAAATGTATAATTTAAAGCAGAAGTTAAGGAATTTTCCTTTGTCTTGAATACTACTGTCACCAGCTCCATTATAAAAGAGAGGTTTAGAATGGGAAGAATCAAGACCTCCTGTTTGACAGTTTAACCAAAAGGCACAGAATCCCAAGATCAGGATGCAGCATAGTCAAGGGTAAATCTTCTGCAACCACACTTTTCCCTTTCCATGTGGAATCTTCTTCTAGGAGGGACTTGTAATACACAAGGTTTGGTGACTTGGCCTTGAGTCTTAAAAGCAACATTTAGTTTCTCTAATAATTTCTAGAGCATTCGAAGTTCAATTAAATGCCAGTAGTAAATTTCATTTATTAAATAGGGGAAAGTAAAATAAAATTGGGAAAAATTTTATATATAAATTCTGAAAAAGAAAAAACATTACTGGGGCACCTCTCAATGGGTGTATAGATTGTTTCCACTTTTTTTGCTACTGTGTTAAAAGTTTCTGTACACGTTCTGTACAAGTATATCTGTGGAGTAAGTTATCTTATGCCCTGGGAGAGATACCTGGGTGGAATTGCTGGGTTAGAATCTATTTCTAATGATATTAAATGTAACTATAAACTACCAAAATGATTTCCAAGAAGGCTGTATCATTTTAAACTCCCAAAAGTGGTGAATGAGAGTTCTACTTCTGCCCCATTCTTACAAATACTTAGTTCTGTCTTATTAATTTTAATTAGTCTGTTTGGCTTGAAGTGGTATCCCATTATGGTTTCAGTTAACATTTCCCTGATGACTAATGATGTTACCTGCATTTTCCTGTGCTTTTTGCTTACTCATGTTTAAAGTGTTTAAGTTTTTGCCCATTTTAATTGGATTCTTTTTTATTATTTATTTGTAGGTTTCTTTATGTAGCCTGCATATAAGTTCTTTTTCAGATATGTGTGTGATGCAGATTTACTTCTAGCTGTGTTTTGCTTTTTCATGTTCTTACCATTGTTTTTTGATAGGCAGACACTTTAAATTTTGATGAAGATATCATTTTGTTTTCATTTATAGTTAAGACTTTTTTACATCTTTTATATATATATACGTATATATATATTTAAGATTTTATTTTTTATTTATTTACTTGACAGAGATCACAAGTAGGCAGAGAGGCAGGCAGAAAGACAGGGGGAAGCAGGATCCCCACTGATCAGAGAGCCCGACTCGGGGTTCGATCCCAGGTGGGATCATGACCTGAGCCAAAGGCAGAGGCTTTAACCCACTGAGCCACCCAGGCGCCCAAGACTTTTTTATCTCTTAAGGAATATTTGCCTACCCCATAGTCACAAAGATGTTCCCATACCTTTTTCTAGTAGGTTTATAGATTTTGCTTTTTATTTAGGTCTGTCATCCCTCTAGTATTAATTGTTCAGCGTGTTTGAGGTAGAGGTAGATATTGAGAAGTTTTTTTCATGGTGCTTATGCAGTGTTCCACATCTGTTTGTTAAAAAAGACTATCTTTATTGAAATGCTTTGGAGCCTCTGTTGAAAATCAATTGACTGCCTATATATGGGCCAATTTTATTTCATTGATCTATTTGTCTATTCCTGAGCCTCCATGTTGTCTTGGTTACCATAGCTTTATGTAAGACTTGAATCAGGCAGTGTCAGTTCTCCAATTTTTTTTTCCAAGATTACTTTAGCTGTTTTAGATCTTCTGCAGTTCTATATGAATTTTGAATCAGGTTGTTAGATTTTACCAAAAAAAAAAAAAAACAAAACCTTAAGCTTATGTTGAATCTATAGCTCAATTTGGAGAAAATTCTTAACTTTCATTTAAGCCTCTTAAGATATAGCAATAAATAAAGCCTCTTAAGATATAGCAATATATCTTGGATTTTAATACAGAGTTACTGCATTTATTTTATTATATTTAATCCTAAATGATTAATATTTTTCTTTCTTTCTTTCTTTTTTTTTTTTTTAATTCACTTGACAGAGATCACAAATAGGCAGAGAGGTAGGCAGAGAGAGAGAGAGGAAGAAGCAGGGTCCCTGTGGAGCAGAGAGCCTGATGTGGGGCTTGATCCCAGGACCCTGAGATCATGACCTGAGCCGAAGGCAGAGGCTTTAACCCACTGAGCCACCCAGGTGCCCCCTAAATGATTAATATTTTTAATGGTACTGAACCCTACTTTTAAAATGTTATTTTCCAATTGTTGGTTAGTAGATAGAAACAAAAGTATTTTTTATGTTAATATTGTATCTTGTCACTCTGCAGCCTTGTTAAATTGATTTCATATCTCTGGAAGCTTTTTTTTTTTTTTTTTAATTCTTAGGATTTTTTTCACATTTACAGTGTTATTGTTTAGACCGCAGACCACTTTCCTTTATTTCTAATCTTGGGTCTTCCAATATAGTGTTGAATTACAGTGTTGCATAGAAGTAGTAGGAATGGAGACCTCCTTAGCCTGTTCTCTTTCTTAAGGGGAAAACATTCAATATGTCATATTAGGTATGGCGGTAGCTGTAAGATTGAGGAAGATCATTCTATTTCTAGTATGAGAATTTTTCTCATGAATGAGTTTGAATTTTGTTACAAGCTTTTTCTGCATCTGAGATGACAGTATGTGGGTTTTCTTCTTTATTCTGTTAGTGGGAGAATTACAATGATTCAGTTTTGAATGTTACATCGTTACATTTCTGAGATAAGTTCTGATGTGTTATCCCTTTTATATATTGCTGGATTCTATTCGATATTATTTTGTTGAGAAATACTGGTCTGTAATTTTCTTGTAGTATCTTTGTCAGGTTTTGGTAATAGGCTTTTTACTGGTTATTTAAAATAATTTGGCAAGTGTTCTCCTTTTCTCCGTTTTCTGAAATAGTGAATGTAAAAAAAAAAAATAGCATTATTCCTTCCTTGAATGTTTGATACAGTTCACCAGTAAAACCATCTCTGCCTGGAATTTTCTTTATGGAAAGTTTCAAATTACAATCTCGGTTTCTTGAACACATATTGATTGATTGGACCATTCTGATTTTTACTTGTTATGTGTAGGTTTAAGTATTCTTTAAAAAGCATTTGTTCATTTTATCTGAATTATCTTTTAGCAAAAATTTGTTCATAATAATTCTTTAGTATCTTTTTAACATCTGTTGTGATATCACCTATTTTACTCCTGATGTTGATAGTTTGTGTTGTCTCTTTATTTTCCCTTAATCTATCTTTTCAGAGAACTAACTTGGGGTTTATTGATTTTCTTTGTCATCTTGTACATTGATTTTCACTCTTTATTACTTGCTTCTATTCATTTTGTCTTTTATTTGTTCTTTTTTCATCTTCTTATTTCTTGCTTCTATTCATTTTCTTTTATTTGTTCTTTTTTCATCTTCTTAAGGTAACACTGATATGAAACCCTTCTACCTTTTAAATGTAAGTGTAAAGTTGCAAGTATTCCCCATGGCCTATAGTTTAAACTGTATCTCACATATTTTGCTAAATATTTTCATTATCATGTGGTTCAAAATCATTTTTAATTTTTCGTGATTTCTTTGACCCTAGACTTTTTTTTAGTAGTGTTTTGATTAATTTCTAAATATTAGAGGATTTTCTAGATCTCTCATGAGTATTATTGATTTCTAATTTAATTCCATTGTGATAAAAAAAAAAAAAGAATCTGTGAGATTCCTTTGAAATTTACTGAGATTTGTTTTATGACCTAGCATGTGATCTTTCATGATGAATGATCTGGTGGACTTGAAAAGAGTGAGCATTCTCAGGCAGTGGGTGTAGTCTATAAATGTCTAGTAGATCTAGTTAGCTGATAGTGTTGTTCAGATGGTCTGTGTTTTTCCAATTTCTTTGTTTACTCTTCAACCAGTGATTGAGAGAGGGATGTTAAA